ATTTTCAATGTTAGTTCCAAGAGGATTATTATAAAGTAACCTGCTTTTGAGGTTTTCAGTTTCCTTAATTCTTGTATTGAATTCGTTGATAACTTGCTGAATTTGTGAACTGCAACTTGAAAACTCAACTTCCCTCAATAAAACCCTTCATTTTTGAATTGTTCTGCTTGTTGCAGATAGTTCGGGAAGTGAGTCAAGTTTTTGTTCTCCGAACCATGGTGGAACACTTTCAGTTTATTTCAAAATCCATTTATTATTCCAATAAAAACTGAAACCGTCTGGTTTCTTCCTTGAAGACTCAAGTTTAAACTGTCAGGGAGATTAGTCAAATCTGTAAGAAAAGGTAACTGCCTTAAAAATTCTAGATCCTCTAGCTTCTAACTTCACTGCCAGAATAGTTCTGTCAGATGCAACATATTTATTGACGAATGTAGGTAATTCGTTTCTCATGTCAAAAATCGTTCCATGCACTTTACATAATTGTACATTAGCAAGTTTGCATACTCGGCCTCTGTTTCCAATAAAAACTGCTTAAGTTGTGTGTGTAAAAGGGTTCGGTTTCCATCTCTAATCACATTTATAATCTTATTCACGAGTTGAAGAACTTGATCTTGCGTGATTGATTTTCCACATAAAGCTTCCTTGTCAATAATATTGTGAACTGTCAGACAAGTAACTCCGTTCTCACGCAGCAATCTCTCTAAACCAGACTTTTTTCCTTTCAACCCAACGAACTTTTGAACAGATTAGTCATTTTAGGGTTCTTAAACTTGTAAATATGGGGGGGGGGGGCTTTTCAGGCTGAAAGAAAACATACCGGAAATACATCGATTGGATAGAACTCACTTTAAAATGCATGTCCATTAAGCCACCATCTACCACCCACCGAAGCAGTCTATCCTTAAAAGTTCGCTCCAAAAGCAATTTCCGCCACTTCAAACAGCAGTTGAATTCGAATTAATCTTTGAGCGCTCTTCGGCAGACACATTGTAATTCGGCCGGACGGAGGCATCGCCCAGCTGTTGGCCTGGCGCCAGGAGCCGAGCTGCCTGGCGGCTAATCGGACGGCTGCGCGGTCGTCCCGTCTCACCCACGCGCACGTGCGCCGCCCGCATGCCATGGCACGTGCACGTGGCGCGTCTGGCCGCGCGCCCTCCATTCGCGGAAACGGTGCCCACGCGGGACAGCGGGCGATTGGAAAATTCGCCGCTGAGGATTTGATTCAAGCGCAGGGGTGTTCGTGTCCAGTAAGGACATTCTCATCCGGCAAGCACGAATTGCTGTATTTAGATCTAGATTTAGATTTATTTAGTTAAAAAACAGTAAAAACTATGTGATGTATGGGGGAAAAGATCATCTGCCTATTATATAAATAGCGAGGTAAATTCAGCCGCTGCCTGGAGGAGAATTCTACCGGCCTATTGCTTTGATCGGTAGTTTCCCTTTGTTTTTCCGATCAATATCAGGCGCATACCGAAGCAGTACACTAACAAATACACTACGCACCGCGCGCGATCATCCCTTCCCCTCCCCTTACACATAAACACACAGAGGGGGAGATGAAATAGTGAACTGAATCATGGATGAGTTAGCGCGGCGTGTCGCGAAAGAACGAAAGAAGAAATATTATTCTTTAGGAAGTTTAGAAGCGTCGGTTCTGTTGTTACGTAGACAATACAAAGCCACAGTTAAGAAACAGAAGAAATCTTGGCAGGAGAGAGAGTCAGCAAGATTGTAGGCAGCGATTGTAGGGAATAATCAGACTAAATTAATTTGGGACGTTACCAGACCTCTGCGTAGAAAAATAAACGCAAGTAATGTAATTTCAGCAGACGTGTAGGTGCAGTATTTTTCAAGGATGCTAGCAATAACGGGGAATTTAAACAGTGATAAGTGTTTTTTTGGATCGAAGAGTGCCTGAATTAGACGAACCTACAATATAGAGGGAAGTGAACAGGGCAATTCTGGCTATGAATAGTAAGAAAGTAAGTGGCGCAGACAGCATTTCGACAAAATTTATTTCGGAATTGTAGAAAATAGATCCAGAGAGTATTCTAAATTTCTTTAACAGCATTTCTCATTATGGATCGTACCCAGAAGCGTGGAGAACATATATTGTCCAACCTGTTTTTAAGAATAAAAGTTATGAGAATTGACCAGACAATTATCGTAGCATTAGTCGTTTACCAGCGCTAAGCGGATTGAGGGGTTGGGTGGAAGAACTTCGCAACTCCAATTATGGCGTTTTTCCGTGAAACGTTACAAAACGTTCTTTAGGTGACTTTCTACAACCCCACCAGATAGTACTGTGCTAACCCCAATAGATGACGTTTGAGAAGCTTTTCAAATCTGAATTGTGCTTGTTTTTCGTAACATTGTTACCTTTATGCTCTTACATCATTTCGTTTGCCGGTGTTTAGAACATCGACAGAATTTCTGTGAATACAGATGATGTGAAATTATCCGATATATATGATTTTTCATCTAATGATAGTGAGTTTACGTCTCCAGATAATACTAATACATCTTCCAGATAATAGATGTTTATTTTCGTAGTGATGAAGATAAAAATAAACAATGAAAATTGAAAACTTTTCGGCAAACCATAAAACAAGAATTAATGAATCGTAATTAACCTTGAAGAAAATGAAAATTATTTTGTATGACTGATATTAAGAAATACATGCAAAATTTCTTAGAAAAAACTTTATAGTATTTTATTTTTCATGATTATCTCAAAACAGTGTTTCTAAATTATGCCATTCTTCCATCCCCCCCTCATTTTTCTGTAACATTCTCAACGGTCGACTGAGGGAATCATCGGAAAAATACAGTACAATCTCAAAACTGCAAGCAGGCTTTAGAAGAGGCATCGCGATCACCGACATTTTTTTAAAGGTCGCATCAACTTCTAGGACATTAACAACCACTATTGCTTGTAACGGTATGGTAACTGTGAAATGACAAGATATGATGATGATGATGATGATGATAGGGGTGAAAGGAACACAATAAAACTATGCCCGAGGCGGGACTCGAACCCGCGATCCTTCGGTCCGAGATCGCTACAGCACTACTGCCTTAGCGATCTCGACTACCGGATCGGCGACAACATCTTTGTGTTAGATAAAAAAGTAAAACAGGCGCTTTCACGTACACGGGGCCAATTATGCAGTTTTGTGGCTTTTGACTCAATCAGTGGGGAGGCATTATTGCGAAAACTTAATGAGATAGGCGTCTCACGTAAAGTTTTAAATGTCATATTGTTTTAAATATCATTTATTTGTCAAAACTGACTAAGGGTGGAAATATATTTTCATGTAATACAGATATAATTACAACACGCGTTGTTTAAAACACATACATCAAGTATTTGTATACTCTGCAAGTAAAGACAATAGGTAATTCTGTCGGTTTAATTTAAAATAACATGTAAGAAAGTGTAACTTTATAGTAAACGTACTATCAAATATTAACAAATGATATATCATAGAATTCGTATTGCTATGATCAACCCATTGCCAGTGAGAAAATATACAGTTCCATTTATAAACTAAAGATGAATACATTTCTCGAAAACTAAAAATGTTCAGCACAATATCTCTACAGCATATTACTTGCTCCATGATTCCCCAGTATTGAGCCAAAACTTCATTTCGGTATCGTAAATCGTTTAGAAGGTAATGGGGTGGCCCATGCTCGGTGAGACACCCATCGTTTTTCCCAACTCAAGCAAACAAATGAAGAAAATGTATCACTGAAAATGGTGATGTCATCAAGTAACGAGTATACTATTTCCTTACGGCTAATTAATGAAAATAATAAAATTACGATTTCTGAAATTAATGATATTCATCTCCTAGAAATACGAATACTCTAAACATATTTTTATACCGAGGTGAAACCATACATTGCACAAACATTTCATTACCCAAAGTTGTATATAATTACAGTTCAAAAGTAATACATTTACTGTATGGAAAGCCGAAAACACAAAAAATATTGTTTGATGTCGTGCAGCATTATTTCTCGAAAATGAAGTGAGTGGTTAGAGCAGCTGGGCGTAAACCAAACGACCCGGGTAGAAGCCCCGGTCGGGGCAACCAATATTGAATTGAACAAATTTAATTATTGAAGTGAGGGAGATATGCAAATTCTGGAATAATCACTAATAACCATGAACATGTTTATGAAAATATAATTGAAATTTTTAATATTTTCCAATATCTGTACAAGGAGATTGTTGTGAACTATGGCAAAAGACTTCTGCTTACTGTAATTTAAAAACGTAATGTACCACAAATTATTACAATCACTGAAACTGGTAGCTCACTAGTCAGCGTACTCGCTTTCCATTTTGTCATCCCGGTTTGAATTCCTGGCGGAATATAGTGTGAACTTTTCTTGCAATACTCCAATATATTTTGCTGTGTGACGATAAGAATGCTCACGTCTAAGGTTGAGAGGACCAGATATAGCATAGTCTATGTGCTAACCACACGTACCCCTAAACCCATGGCCGCAAGGCCGGGACGGCGCTGAGAGACCTTGGGCCCGTCTTTACTGGCTGTTGTGCCAGTACAGATATGCAGATAGACTCGTGTATATGACGATTGCTAGACATTGGGTTTACATACACTCACTAACTTTTACATTTAAAAACACTCTTAGATCTTGCAACAAAATGCGGTTTACGCTTCGCTAACTAGAACCCCACATTCGCATACAGTAGACTTCTTCCAATAGGTCGATCCGACGAACCACGGCAGATAAGTGTCCATTGTATTCATTTTAATATACTATTATCCTTTAGTGTTTATATTATGTGACTGCTTACAAAAACGAGCGTATAACCAGGTATCTTAAATTGTACTAAGCGTAAGTTAGTGACCGCAGTAGCTACAGGCGTGCGCAGCATAAAGTTTAATAAAATGATACATTTAATTATTAAATTAATAAACAGACATTATTTTATGTTAAAAACTTTACATTGTTGCCAGGTGGCTTCATGAGCATCTTCCCCAAATGCCCTGCAACTCCCACTGCCCCGAATTGTCAGGTTAAAGAGGGGAAATCGGTGAGTAAATGTATTTACTGAAATAAAATGTTTCGTTACGTAAGGCTACAATATTTTCAGGGGTGGTTACGCTCCCCCCTGGTGTGTCCTTGCGCACGCCTGTGGCCGTGGCGCAAATAGCCCACCGGCCTCCCGCGGGCGCTGCGCTGGCCGGCCATCCCGCGGCGCGGCGCCCGGGCGGAAACCAGCGGAGTGCGCGTGGCCCGGCCCGCTGCACAGTGGCACCAACACGAACGCAGCCAATCTAAGGCCCAACGAGTGGATTGCTACACTAAAAAGTGCGGCATTTTAAAGATTCGTATATACAGCAAATGAGCTGCTCAGAATAATAATGGCAGATCCCAACCCACCTCGCATTTTGAGTTAGATGGTAAACACCTGCCATATATCAATCATATGCTGAATTATCAAAAGAATTGGAATATGGAAAAATCCTCAAACTCCACCTTTCAAAATTTGTCTGGAGTAATAGGGAAAGTGAACGAAGACAGAAATAGTACTGTAAAGGAAATAATCTCCACAAAGTTTTAATAATTTTATTAACAATTTTCCAGAGTTAACTTCCACCACCAAAAAAGTGTTAAAATTACTTTAAATAAGGTTTTTCCTCAACATGGCCCTATAGAACCAAAGAAATTTATTTGCATCCCCTATATAGGTCCTGTATCCAAACGTATAGGACAATGTTTCACTAAATACAGTATCTCAGTAGCCTACAAAACCCTAAACTCCCTCCAATCTTTGCTCCCTAGTTCCAAATCACCTATCCCCTCCATTGAAAGAAGTGGAATTTATCAATTAACTTGTAATAACTGTAGTTCAGCATATGTAGGCCAAACAGGCAGAAAATTTTCAGTTAGAATTAATGAGCATATTAGATGTTGGAAACAAAAAAATTTAGACACTTCTACCTTTGCCAATCATTTGATTCAATTTAACCATTCTTTTGACCCCATTTATAATTTTAAAATTCTTCACCTAGTCAACAAAGGCACAAAAATGAACATTTTGGAGAACTTGGAAATTCTAAAACTTTTTAAAAATACTAATTTTTCTGTCTTGAATGAACATTCCTTGATTAAAAACAGTCCCATTCTAAATATTTTATTAACTATCCCCTAATTATTCTTTTGAGTTGTCTTTTATGACTACCCTTTCTTCTCGTCTTCCCCCACTCCCTTTCCCTTCATTGTTAGGCTTCCTCTTCTCCCATTCGAAAAGATGGCTGCCACTTAGCTGCAACCTCCATGTTTGCCTTTGACCACATGTGAACATTCATGGGAGATCCACGTTGCTTGAGCAGTAAGTTATTTTCTTTTTGTATTTAGATGATATTATTTGTTGTTGTTTTTTTTGTTTTGTGTTTTTCACTAAAATCACTGACCCCCCCCGTTTTGTGTTTAACATATGTTTGTTTCATTTCTCCATTTTGCTAGTGATCCACTGAGGATGGGAAAACTTTTTTCCCGAAAGTTAACTCTGGAAAATTGTTAATAAAATTATTAAAACTTTGTGGAGATTATTTCCTTTACAATACCATGGATTACCACAAGATATCCGCTACCACCACGGAATTTGAAGACAGAAATAGTAGTTTTTCTCAAAACGAACTTCGGTTGGCATCTGCAGTCTTAATTTGCGTCTTCATTTGTTACGAAGGCGCTTCAGCCGAGTTTGTGTATCGGTCTCACATCTGTGTGTTTGGAGCACTGCCAGAGTCTCATAACATTGTAGAGGTTGGATCAGATGGAAAGGCAGGGATCAATCCAACACTAGGCCGTAAGAGTAGTGTGGAGCTGGTTGGGAACGGCGCGATTGTGTAACAGCTGCTTTGAATTCATCGGACGTCAAAACACTGACCAGTTGTATCCTGAATTCCCACCCGACAGTAGAAGGCCTCGCCCCTGATTCTTACCTGGGTCAACAATCAGACACGCGATCAACGATCATCTACAATCCACCAGAACTTACGATGTACATAATTTACGTTTGCAACTCCAACAATACGCTGTTGTTCTCGATGACAATAAATAAAATAAATGTTGAATTTCGTGTTTTTTAAGACCTCGAAGTAATCAAATGTCAGAAGAGATATTGTATAGCCTTGTAGGTGTAGTGGTACCCTTTTGGGTACAATTTAATTTGATTGATTGATTGTTTAGAGATTCCGGGCACGTCATCTACCTGGGTCATTAGTCCCGTAAGTGTAATGCATATTTTTTTGCTCGGGATATGGCGGTGATCTGCTTCCCGATGTATGGCGATATCCGGCGCCGACCTACCGTCGGCTAGCGTGGTTTACCCCATCCAGCTATCTCCCACCAACGGTGCACCACCCCAGCCAGGGCAAGCTCTTAGCTCCCGGCTTGTGTGGTAGTGTAGTACGTGTTAGTGTGTGTGTGTGTGTGTGTGTGTGTGTGTGTGTGTGTGTGTGTGTGTGTGTGTGTGTGTGTGTGGGTAAGGGGGTGAGGATAGAACAAGACAGAGGAAGGTGAGATCCGTGGCCCGTTTGTTAGGGTAATGCTCGGGAATTCGCCTGGTGTTGATCAGAGAAATCACGGGAAAATATCAATCAGAGCAGCCGGCCGCTGGAATTCTCCTCCAGTCAGCGATTGAATTGACTCTGATCGAGAGGTTCTCTTGTTCGAGCCTGACGGTGGCAGATATAGCCAGGTTCAACTTATTCCAGCAGTTTGATGGTAGTAATAAATGAGTTAAATTATAATTTATTTTCCAATTTTCATCAAACGTCCGGGTGGGTAATTACCTACCTGAATATTTGCTCATGGTACTAACCACCATGCTCACCTCTTCTAATACCATGCTCATACGCAAATAAAAACTATTATATTCAGCGGTGTGAATGGTGCGTTTTAACGCGTGGGTCGCGCGGGTTGCTCTCCTTTTGCTGGTATCACTGACGTTATTGTCTATTTGTGATTGCAACACAATGAGCTGTCGCTGCGGCCTAAGCTAACCGGGCCCTAGCGGCGGCCTAGGTTTCAACGTTCGATCGCTTCAATGTTTTCAAGCACAGCAAGGTGTCATAGCAGACATCCATATTCTTGGAAAATGCAGTATTTACGCGAACTTGCGTGGAATGTGCTATTGAAAATAGGTAACTGTGGTACGTCTGAGCGTCAGGTGCAACGTCACCGCATTCGAGTGGCAGCGGGCGCCTCAATCATCCTTAAGAAGAAGTGCAGTTTTTATCTATTTCTGTCTGTTTTTGTAACTCGTGAATGACACTGGGCCTCGGACCTCGCGCGACCTGTCCTTCATCATCCTTGTACCTTCTTCTCCCCTCACACATACACCCCCCCACTTATCTGTACTACACGACCACATATCTCCGGGAGAGCAGTCATTAACTTACGAGCCTAGAGCATGCCCAAGCTGAGGCGCTGCTCCGCTGGCTAATTTACCTGGAGTGGGAAACCCCTAGCAAGCCGATGTGATGGCTGGTGGTAGATCTCACGTTCTAGAGATAAAAAATGAAACACATCCCGCGATAAAACATGTACTACACTTACGAGAATAATTATCTCTGCTGCGCCCAAAATCGCTAAGCAATGTATTAATCAAATTTTTATTCTAGTTGAAGTAACGATGCTGTTTCCGATGAAATTAGTTTCCTTTTCTGTTTGTCCTTCGAAAAAATGTTTCCTTCATGCCTATTGAAAAGCTGTGCAGTTCGATGTATTAACATGAATGCTTACTATTGACTTCAAATTAAATGTTGCACTTTTAAATTTTATTTTGTAATTATTACTGGAAAAATTAGTAATTAAAACTTGACTTTCACTCATGATTACAAAATTCCAATAAATTTAAAAACACACATACCAGCCAACAAGCCTCAGAAGCATCCAACTACAGTTTTCGCTCTTGTTATTTTTATTAGTCTTTTTAACTGACTTCAAAAAGATATACAGAGAGAACAGTTATATAATTCTTCAAGTACATTTTTTACAGGTTTGTTAAATAACAACTTTCTTAAGTGAACCGGTTTCAATGATTCTTGTTTTGCCTTTAAAGGTATAATTTTACTTTTTCGCTAGAGAGTGGAGAGAATGTTATGTAATGCTGCCCGAAAAAACTGCGAATTTTCGGCAGAAAAACTCTTGTTACAGGGCTTTGGTAACGAAAACGTGGTTAAATCTAGTTGCTAAATTTCGGGGAGAAATCATGGTGCAACAAGAATCCATGTTTTGCGGGTCGTTGTCGAAAAAACGAATGATGGCCAAACGTCTGGCCGGCCGTCAACAACGTTAGCGGCTAAACCCATTTTCTCCAAAATTGATATTGCTCGATCGATTTGGCTGATGTCAGGGCTTCTTGAATTTGAAAACGATATTTTAATTTTGGAGGGTACTTTACCTTAAGCTCCTGGAACATTTTCAAAATTCTCAAATAAATAAATAAATAAATAAATAAATAAATTAATGGCTCCATCGATATGATTAAATTTTGTTGTTGGGTAGTGAGAACGACGTCTAAGAGAATGGTACAGGTCTAATGTTCGTTGAAAACTGTTTTTTTTTTCGAAACTTGCAGAAGTCAAAAGACATTTTTTGTAGTCTTCCTACAATTAAAATATTAAAGATAGAGAGTTTCTTTCTTAATGCAATCTGTTCTTTAAAGATAGATTTTGAAATAAGATTATGTACAAATTTGCGAAAATTTCAGTACTTTTCGCGTGAAAATTGGGCGAGAAAGTACGTGCTGTATGTAGCACCACTAGTTTTCGGGCTGCTGCTTGGGGCCCATTGTGCGGGTTGGAGGCGGAGGCGGAGGGGATTTGCGAAGAAGCCGCACGTTCGTCCTCTGCCGCGACTCGGCGCTTCCTTCCTCCTTCGATCGCTGCTCCGGTGCGCTCCCCTCCCCCCACACATCACCGCCCGCCCGCCAACACCTCACGCCCAACCAATCCTCGCCGGCGGCGGTGGCGCGATCGCCATGCAGAAGGGCCAGCGGCCCAGCGCTGGCCGCTTAGACCG